CAATAACACTTCAACGGCACTACCATCGCAGAGACGACCTAGTCTCCAACAGGGCCGCCTAGCCATAGGCATAGTATAACTAGTCACTAGCGGGTTTGAAACTATGAATAGATGACATACTAGAGCATAGGAATGCTGTCAGTCAAAGTGCCGAAGACGAAGACTAGACTGAAACTCACCACTAAAGTTGATGCAATATTGATGAGTAAATGCAACGCGAGATTGACTGCAGCCACCTCGCCGCTGTCGCACTCGGCAGCGTAGAAGAACACGGGCTTCAACGAGCCAGGCGCTAGAACCACAATCACTAATACAGTCAGTGCCACTGAAGAAATCAGTAGCACCGCACAGTTGACTTTAGCTGATCGCCTCCATCCCGTGGCAGCGGGTCTGTTGCTTAAACCGAAGAACGATTTGGCTCCCATGTGGTTCCGGTTCTTGGTAGTTGTCGCGCAATTCCTCGTTGCATGTCTAAAAGAACAACGCCGAAGAAGCAAGTATTTTGAATAAAAGAAAGAGAAGTTCCAAAGACAAGCTAATTACTCCGTAGATGGCCCCCAAGAAGCCCCTAAATACTGATACTGATTCTGCGGGTGGCACAGCATGCCAATGCAGATCATGACGGCAAGCTTGAAAATAAGGCTTACAACCCCTGTTTAACTCCTAGCTTGGTCAAGCTCGGCTGCTTGAAAAGAAGACTATGTAAAATAAGTCGTGACATATTACTAGATAGATGAAGCATTAGAGACTATCTCATTGTTAGAATGAAACAGGCAAGCTAGGTACGGGTAGTTGGCGCTACTGCTGCGGAGCGCGTGGTTGCAGTCCTTATCTGTTGCTATAGATCCCTCTACGCGACCTGCTTTTCGGTCGCCTGCAGGTCTACGCAGTATCTGCTTATTGGCCATGCCTGAGGCGCAGCGGGATAACGGGGCCCACGCGGTCCGCTATGTATGCCGAGATGTTAGGCGCAGGTACATGAGTATAAAAATAGAAAGTTCTTGTTTCTTATATAATTACCTATACGGTAATAATGGTAGGAAGCGTGGAAAACCTGTGGCTGTGTGATGGCTTGGATTTGTGGCGAAAGGATTCAGAAGGTCCAAGCTTCCACCTAATTCGAACTTACCAGACTCGTTCACCACATATTTTGTGAACATATATCCCCAATCCTGGTGATAATACATTGATAACGCAAATGTTGTCTTACTCTTGAAGCTTTACAGAATCAAGTCAATTTGCAACTCCACCGTTCCAACCATTATTTTTGCTTTCGTCGTCGTTGACGAATCCAATACCTCGACGTAGTAACACGCTTCGAGAATTCCATATAGCAGCTTCAGGTGCATGAGTGTCCAATGGTCGCTGTCGCATGTAATTATGGCTTTACTCGCCTTAACAATCTAATCGTTTTGGGACAGGACGTAGTTTATGTGGCGATAGGGGGATAACGAGAGATAGAGAAAAATAAAACCAGAATGGGCAAACATTAGATAGGTTTTCTATGCCTTCGTGAGTCGTGACTCTACCTTAGGGCGCCACCCGAGGGTATAAAAACCGACGTAGGCACCTTTGCGAAATATAGCTAAAGAGTTATTAAACTGGATCATTGCGTCAGCCAAGTGAAATTTTCAAATAATAATATATATTATGTTTAAATAAAATTTATTTGATTTTTATAAATAATAATTAAATAAAAATATTTTTATTTTTTATATTTTAAATTTAATAATAATAAATATTTTAAAATATAATAAATAAAATATAATAAAATAAATAAAATTAATTTTAATTTATTATATTTATATATATTTATTTTTATATTTAAAATATATTAAATATTATTTTGTTTTATTTTATTTTTTTATTTTATTTTTATTTTTTTACGTAATAAATTTTAAAATATAAAAATCATTTTGTGCTTAACATACATGTTGGTTGACCATTTTCATGTTGCATGCTTACCAATTTTCTTGGCTTAACACCTTTGTCTCTACCTGGTGGGCGTACTATATTTTCAAGCCTGAACAGCAATCTAGCTACTATTTTCCTACCCTAGCCTGGCGCCCTAAGGTAGGGACAGAACGCCGCCAAGCTGTCACTTATCTAGGTGGTACCATTGGGTCACGTGGGTCCGTGTGATATTTGCACAGTCCTGCAAGTCCAACCTACATTATCCCTGTTTGAGTGCACATTTGCGTACATGCTTGATGATATGGTATTCGATGTTAGATACCTAATATCAATAATGATTTCTTATTTCAATTAGTCTACTGCCGCGTAGGTGCATATAGTAGGGAGTGTATTTGCACAGCTGATACAGTATACCTACGTGTCCGAGGTATATAGGCCCCACTAAATTTTCAGTATAATAACTAAACAGATCATGTTTGTTTACATCGAGAATAACTTCGCCATGGGGTCAGTTTGATTTTACGCGACGTACAAAGTAAGACTGAAATTCGCGTTTGGATATATGCTAGATTGTTGGAAACTACTTACTAGACCGTGCCGTTATTGAGCGACCTTCTCCAATAGCACTCTCATATTACATTCTCGCTGCGACTCTCGACGTCTAGTCTTTCCTGTCGTCTCTTCTACGCGATGCAGGGCACAAAACAAGGCAAAGATGATGGCATCTTTCGGGATAAAGTTGACAACGAAAGGCATAACAACCACACTCAAGCTTCGAAGTTCTCGGGTTCGTCATCGACGTCATCAGCGTCATCGCGATCGAGCTTTCATCGTTTCCACGTTGCTACTACCGATCCGGAGCACACTACACAATTGTGGAAGGCTGTCATGTCATACCGCGGTGACGCGGAGAGCTCAAGGGGAAAGAGAAGGGAAACCCCATGCGCATCCTCATCAAAGCCAACAACGTCCTCGCCACTGACACCCAGGCGCCGCCAGCCGTCGACGTCTATAACGGCGTCTTTGGCTGCCGAGTCTGGGGAAATCATAACCGCTAAGGTGACCGATGCCGATTTCATGGAATCTGTTCTAGAGCCCTACGGGATTACAATTCAAACCGGGGGCGGAAACAAGGATCTTCGCAAACACTTCGGCATCCTGAGTCTGCCCACTGACCTTAAGGACCGTCTAGACGTCTACAAAAAGGCATTCCGAGTTCCACTTAACGTGTGGCTAGAGGCCGACATGAAGCGCAGTCGGCGCATTCAACAGGAATACAAATCGTTGACAGTGTACGGATGCAACGAGGCCGAATATTCAACATATGCCTTGCGAGATGTGTTCCTGGACGAACCTCGGCGCCCGTGGCTACCCATAGAACAGGGAGACCAGCGCTGGGTGCCCATCCGGTTGCTGCGACTTCTTCAGAAGCCAAACAAAATACAGCCGGAGAACTGGGATGCACCGCCAGAGCTTTGTGAACCTAGGAAGCGATATGAGTGGGACATTTGCCCGGACTGTGCATATCACGTTTCCCTTCTAGCCTTCCAAACCCGTGTACGCTCTAACATCGAAGACTATGTTTCAGTTGTGCAAAGGCGGGCATTTTGCCCGTATTTTACTATTGAATTTAAAAAAGACGAAGATAATATTACTACAGCCCGCTACCAGGTCGCCGTCGCTTCAGCAATAGCACTATATAATCGCTATTGTTTAAAAAATATGCCCTTCAAAAAAGCGGCAAAAGCTGGGATAATAAACATCAAGGACAGATGCGTCATTACGGTCTTACTTGTACGGGGGTTAGGTGGAATCTATGGTGCACTGTGCCGAAGAGCTTCGATAGTTGGACTGGGTGCAACATGTTGAGACTATACTCTGGCGACTGTGATGTTTTCGAGGGTGTCCAGCAGCTTATAGGAATTATTAACGACATTCATTACTGGGGACTCGAGGTTCACGGCAAGTCCTGTAAGGCTGATATTGTGGCGATAGCCCAGTCTGATCCTGATACGGATACGAATGATATTACGTTGCTGGAGGAGTAAAGCACGCTGAGATAGGTTAGCTTAAGCTTTGGATGCAATATATCATAACAGTTCGTGGTCTCTCTTTCCTAAGTCCGTATGTATACCCATAGGCCATATACTTTGTTATACACATTTTGCAGATGGCTAAATCCTTATGACTTAGGTTTCTCCAATGGCCTTTGTACAACTCGCGTGGTCTCACTTGGACCCGCCGTGTTGGTAGGGCGCGTATTGGCTTGTCAAGGCTTGTAATTATCTATCCGCGAGAGTTGGGCGAACATTACCAGGGCGGAAATATGAAACTCCCACGAGCGCGAGATCGACGATTTGCTTGGGCATATGGTCGTGTCATGATGGGCTAATCGGATTTCTTGGGCCATTTAGATACGCTTGACGCTATGTCCATTGACAACAGTCGAGCATACATCGAGAGACTGGTTCCTCTCTGCCGAGGGGATATCATGCCTAACGCAACAGCCTCGTTGATGGATCACCTGGGACCTGTGGGAAAGCGTGAGAGCCTATGATCGTGAGCTAGCTGAAGGTATGCCTGAGCCGCTCTTCGCGTATCTGGATACGCTTAGTGATGTCGTCGGCATCTCCTGAGGCCTCAAACTGGATCCTATGGGACATGTGTACAGAATGAGAATCAATTCATGATGGACTCGTGAAGGGTATTCTCGATACACCGCACAGCAAAACTTTGAGGGAGTATCTCAAGGTTTTAGAGCTCATGATGAGCGTCAATGAGACCTGAAGTAGATCTGCTACGCGCTACTTGACTCCCGCAATATGCATGAGTTGGGATCCATATTCTATGCTGTTATTCTCGGGGCTATTGTGTGCAATTTCCATTTCTTAGATCTTTCATGACTTATGAATCTTCTTGTTTGTCCATACGAATTAGAGATGTGTTCTCTGCCTACCTGCCCTATGCGATTGTTAACAAATGTTGAAAACGTAAATAAATCAGTTTCATGAAAAAGGTACAACAAACGTATCAACCGACGAATGACGATGCACCATGGACTTCAAAAAATTCGTTGGCGAATCTCTCGCCCCAGGCGGGGGTCGAACCCGCAGCCTTCGGATGACGCTTTATGAGCTTAGGCTGATAAAAGTCCGACGCTCTAACCAATTGAGCTACCAGGGCCGTGTGGCATGTGATTTTTACATCGTCATAAGTTATCAGATACTCATTCATTAGTGAGCAATCAAATCAATGCTGCTAAGAATAATTGCCTCCCAAAGATAGCATAAATAGACGACAATCTAGGGTTTTCTACGACATATTTCGGTCTCTTTACTAATTAATATTGAAGCGCCGACTGAACTTTTTCAGAGTCTAGAGCTCATGAGGTGAGAAGGCGGGGGTAGTATAGTAGTAGGGAGGCGAGCAGACGCCGATTATAACACCCCTCATAGGTCTAGAGGTCTCTTAGGTAGCAAGCGGAGAGGTACCGTTGTAGAAAAGGCGCTAAAACGAGGGTGAATAGCTACACTGTCTCCCGCGAGTCGAGATATGGGAAGTGCGTAAAAAAGGGGTTGGTATTTCAGCGACTTATCTCGGTTCCGTGTCGGTTACCTACTTTAGTCGAAGTCGGACAATTCTGACCGATTCGGCTCCGACTCATTACTGCTTCCATTTACCTATTCTGTAGGGAAACACGGGACTCATATTAAGTAGCATGTGCTGGACAATGATCCCAACAAGAACTAATTATGGAAAAGCGGGAATAAACTACGATGATCGATTGCTAATAAACGGTCCCGATATTTCAGGTGCGGTTAGCCGTCGCTTTCGAGACTCAGTTGAAGATCAACCAATTTGCTCATACCGTACTACAGGGTGCAGCGCACCCATCCTAGGTCAACTCTCTCGTCGTTGCCGTAACCTAGTTACTAGCTTAATGGCATCTGAAATTACAAGAATGTCTCAGGGGTTACTCAGCGCTACGATGCAAATATATACGCAAATGGTATAAACATTGAGGGGGCAAACTGTGGGACGGACACGAGCTGCTGTGAGTCGTCGGGTCAGTGCTGATGGGGTGATGTTAAATACTATCTAGATTCTACAGTAAGATATACTGTATCTTAAGCATGTAGGTATGTATGTAGGTTCTAGGTCCTACGTACTGTAGGATACAGATAGTGGTTGTGATTTGTACACCATGACAACGCATACCTTAGGTAGGTAGCCCACTGTAGCCCAAGCCGGCCTCGGGTACAGCAACAGCACCAATGCTCCCCTGGGGTTAACGGATATAAGGCTTGGCCCTCCCACGGTATAAACTCGCAGGTAGAGAGGTGAAATAGACCCAACTGCTTCCTTTAGTCATCTTACTCTACCTCCTACCTATCTATATTCCAGCAAATAGCAGCGCTCAGAGAACGCACGTCGCACAATGGCCAAAGAGTCGCCGACCGTGCAGAAGACCCTCGCGGCCGCCAAGACGGCGACGACGCTCCGCTTACACTACCCAGAGGCCACCGTGACCGAGGCGGGCGCCAACCTCACCATCCCCGTCGCCAAGCCGACGCCGACGCTGTCCATCTCCGCCGCCGTGCTCAAGCCGGCGCCCGAGACCAAGTACATCGTCGTCTCCATCGACCTGGACGCCCCCTTCCCCTCCTTCGCCGTCCTGGGCCCCATCCTGCACGGCGTGCACAGCGACCTCGTGCCCGGCGCCGCTGATGCGGACGGCTTCGCGCCGCTCGAGGGCGCCTCCGCGGAGTGGCTGGTGCCCTACATCGGCCCCGGCCCGCCAAAGCCCAGCTCGCCGCACCGCTATGTCTTCATGGCGTTTGAGCAGCCGGCGGCCCTGGACGGTGCCAAGATCAAGACCCTACTTGGGCTTGGCGCGGAGGTGAAGCTGACGAGCAGGATGTGGTGGAACGAGGAGAGCTTTGAGCAGAAGTTGGGGCTTGGAGAGGTCCTGGCCGGGAATTATTTCCTCTCGGGTCCTTGAAAGGCTGATTGTGGGAACTTGTTGATAGCGCATTCGCGGGAGTAAATTCTTAAAGAGAGCGAGTTACTTAGCGCACCGGCTTTTCATTTCTTGGTTGTGCAGAGATCTTTGTGTGGGAAGTCTGCAACGTGCATCTTTCATCTAGTCGGGGATGCGGTTTAATATCGGCATATCACGAGGGTCATAATATTCGAAGAGAATGAACCAGAGTTTCAGGTCACTTAATGCAAGCTAATTATAAGACGAGGATTATACTTGATGATGAAATGAAGTGGTATATGAGCGTACTATTCAGCTTACTGACTATAACAGAGAGGTGGGAAGACCTGCTTATATATATAAACGAGATATTTGAGCTCTTTTTTTTATATAGTATATAAAATGACTTTTTGATTTAGCATACTTTTAATATTTCTGCTTAAAAAAATATTTCGTAATTATAATGATTTATTTTATATATAACTAATATTTTATTTAATGATTTATTTTATATTATAGTTATTTTATACTTTTATAAAAGTTATATAATTAATATAAATATTTTTGTAGTTTTTATATAGTTTATTAATTATATTAATTATATTAAAATAATTAAAATATTAGCTTTTATTAGTTTTATATTATATTTAAATATATATTTGTTGTTTTATTTAATTAGTTTTTTTTTGTTTATATAAAATAATATTTTAAACTAGTTTTTTTTTTTTATTTAAACAAAAAGTTGTTTTTAATTTATAACAAAGTTTTATATAATTAAGTTTTAATTAGTTTTTGCAAATTTATTTAAATATTTTTTTTTAAGTTTTTTTTATATATTATTAAATTATTTTATATTAAAAAAATTTAAACTTTAAATTATATTAAAAAATTTTTAAATTGTTACTATAATTAAACTTAGTTTTTAAAAATTTTTTGTAGTTTTAATATTTTTTTAAACTTTTTAAATATATTTTTTAAAAACGATTTAATTAAACTATTTATAATTATATTTTTTATATAAATTTATTTTAATTATATTGTGTTTTTTTTTATTTACTTTTAAATAAAGTATATTTAAATATTAATATATTTGTTTTTATTATATTATATTAAATTTTTAGTTAATATTATAAACTTTTAATTATTATTATAAATAACTATTATATTAAGTTTTTTTAATATTTTTGTTATTATATTGTTGTTTTTAAAACTTATATTTAATTTATTATATAAATATATTAATTATATAGCTTTTTTTATTATATTAATAGTTTTTTAATATTTAGTTTTATAAATAAACAATATAATTATTTATTAAAATTTAAATAATTAGTTAATTATATTACTATTTAAATTAAATATATAGCTTAAAATTAACTTTTATATATTTAAATTGTTTTTTTAATTTATATTAGTTTATTTAATTAATAGTATTAATAGTTTTATAAATATTAAATAGTAGTTTTTTATATTTAATAAATATTTAAAAATCTATTTAATTATTATTTTATAAATAAATATTAAATTTAATATATATTTACTAATAATTAAAACTATATAAATTAAATTTAGTTGTATTTTTATTATTAAATATATTAATAATTTTATATTTAATTAATAAATATATTTATTACTTATAAAATATATAAACTTTTTTTTAACTTTTTAAAGTTTTGTTATTATTATAAAAATATTAATAAGTTTATAGTTTTTTAATTTAAATTGTATAAAAAGTTTATTAATATAACTTTATTAATTAAAATAGATCGTTTTTTTTAATTTGTTTTATTATATATATATATTTAAATAATATTAATATAAATTTAAATCTATTATTTAAAAGCGCTTTTTTAAAACTGTTTTTATATTTTTTATTTTTAATAAGTTTTTTTTAACAATAAGTAAATTATTTATATAAACTATAATAAATATATTAATATTAATATTTATAAATATATTGTTATTTATATTAATTGATTTAAAGCTTTATATAAATAAAAAGTTTAATAATATTTTAAACTAAACTTTAAATGTTTATTTTAAATTATATAATATTTTTTTAAATTTATAAATATATTTAATACTATTTTTAAATTTATATAACTATTTAATATAAATATTTTTTTTAATTTTTTTATATAAAAATATTGTTTTAATGTTTATTTATTTAATTTTGAAATTTTATATTATTATTATTACAAATAATATTTTATAGCTTATTAGTTTAACTATAAATATAAATGTTTTAAAATAGTTAATATTTTCGATTTATTTAAAGTTTTATATTATTTATTTAGTTTTAAAACAAGTAATTTTATTGTTTAGTTTTTATTTTAATTTATATATTTATTTTTTTTGCAATATATATATATTATTAATACAATTTATTAGCATTTAAATATTATTGTTTTTTAATAATTAATATTTAATTTTTATTTTTTTTATTTATTTTTTATTATTTAGATTTTTTAATATTTTTTTAATTATTAAAAGTTCTGTATTTTTTTATTGCGTTTTAAATATAGTTGCAAAAATAAATATAATATAAAATACTTAAATTTTATTTATTAGTAAAAATTAACAATTTTTAAGTATATATTAAAATTTAAAATAATTTAAAATAAAGTTTTTTAAATTAAAATTTAATAATATTTAAAACAAAAGTACAACGTTGTTTTAATTAAATATTATATAATTTAATAAATAATTAAATATTAAAATTATAATAATGTTTTAATTTAATATAATAATGTTTTAGCGTTTTTTTTTTATAAATAAAAATACTAGTTTTTTTATTTTAGCAGTTTTATTTAATATATTATTAGTTTATATATTTATAAATATTATAGTTTTATTAAATTTTATTTTAATAGTTTATTTTATATCAAAATATATATTTTATTTAGTTATTTTAATTACTTTTTTATTTGTTATAATTATTTTATAAATAAAATTGCTATTATAATTAATAAAAATATTTAAAACTAATTTTTTATTAAATTTTTTTTGCTTTATATTTAATAAAAAGTATTATAATTTAATACTTAAAGTTTAAATATATAAAATGTTAAATTGTTGTTTATATATTTTTTTAAACAAAATAATATTAAAAGCGCTATATAAACTTTTATTATATAAATAGTTAATAGTTGCTATAACTTTTAGTTAATATTTTAAAAATATATTATTATTTATTATTATT